ACAACACCTGTGATTCTGTCATGCAAAATGCACGACAACCTTTTTACCTATTTACGGCCGTGTTACATAAAAAATCAAAGAAATACCTAAAGCAGTCGCTTTATTAATATCTTACCTATACAAAATACTTGTCATGGCAGTATTCTCCTCTTTAATCCCGTTTATTTTATTAAAACATTACGACATAAAAACCACGCAAACTTCGCTACACACAAAACTGCCAATCTTGCATTGAACCGCACCGGACAACGTCACAGCGATGCTTTCATTGGCCAGTGAGAAATGTCGTATCTTCCAGGAGAGCTTCTGGTATGCGATTTTCATGAACATGCGATGATCATTGATAAATCATGAGTTCGCATTGCTCAATTTGTGGTGTAAATTTTATTAAATGCTCGCGATATCAAAAAGTAGGCCTAAACGCTCAACTACAGCGCAGGAGAGAGACTGTCAAGACAGCATTGTCGCTGGTAAATGTTTTTGTTTCGGGCAATGAGCCCAATGTTTTTATTTGCTCCACGTGCGCAAATTATTTAAAGAAAATAAGCAATGCCAACGAGAGCATTGAGAACGCTCTATATACCATCAAGGCGTCAAGAAAGAGTGGGTGCTACATTGCAGGTACACGACCACTGAATTAGTTCCTCTAATTTTTACAATGTAACTATGTATGTGGAATAAACATGGAACCGTGACTATTATAATAATATATTAACGTTTAAAAAAATATGTATACAGTTCATGTGGAAAACTTAAACAATGTCTAACATATATGAAACTATATTTTATAATTTAATATATTTATAAAATATATTAATTATATTATATTATATTATACTGTATATATTCTATTATATTATATTACATTATATTATATATTATTAATTTAAAATATTATATGAATTATTACTGAAAAATATATTCATATTATAATTTTGAGTTTGTTCTAAGTACAAGTGAATATAACAAAGAACACTAACCACAATTGGACAGCTAATTGTTGCATTACTGCACAATTTAATTTCGTGTTGCAGATATGATGTCTCCACACAAGAATGTAGCTCTACCCCCAAGAAGCCTTTGTCGCCCGCATTTTTTTGTCCTCCGTACCAATGACCTCTAGCCCACACAGAGTGTGTGTAAAAAGAGGCAAGAATGTGCACGCGCGAGGAGACACGTGCATCGACTGCCAAAAAAACAGGAAAGGTGGCAGTTTTCAATATGCTGGTAAATAAAATATCTAAATTATGTAACCTTTCCTTCCGGCGAATTGTAATAGCCCATTTTTGCTATAAATCGTTTAGAAATGCATTTAACTAAATATTTCCACTTTAATTATAAGTTATATGGGCAAAACTAATGATTATGGCTAAACATAATTGTTAATTGTTGCCAAGCCTTTTCCTTGTTATTCTATATTTTGTAACTTCTAGGATGCACCGGGGCAAGGCCCCAAAACAGCGTACCGGTGATGTGGCTAGGGCAGCGCAAATGTTAATTAATGGCCAGCATGCGTCTGCATTAAGGGCATTTAAGGCTGCTAATACGAGCCAGCAAAGCGTTTAGACGTTCGCTGAACAACATTGTTGAACAAGTCGTATGAAAGGAAGTAAAGGTAAATGAAAATTTATTACTTAAACCGCTGGAAATAGATAAATAGAAACTGTAAAGATTTTTTTTTAGTTTATATGTAAAAAATCAAAAACAAATGGTTATATAATATGAAGTTCTAAATAACTTTCTTACGTGTGAGGAACACTCTCAGATTATAATACATCTTTTTCCCCGTTTAGGAATTGTGTTCTCCCACTACAACATCAACATACACTACAGCAATTCGCGTCGTTTACATTCGAAAAGGCATTGCGTGAGAGCGGAGGCAAAGCTCCGTGCTGTACTCTGCCCTTCGAGGTGCGTGCACAGACAGTAAGGGAGCCAAGCACCTCGCTACGCCGCAGCAAGGCTACTACAAGCTCGGTGGTACAAAATATTGTGCCCTTATTGGGCAGATCGTGTTTGCCGTAAAAAGTCGCAAGATAAAACTTTTGCAGCAGATTGTTGGCTGCGAAATGTGGCTGGCAGGATGACACCGACAGGTAAATAATACTTTTCAATTTCGTACAACTATTATGAAATCACAAATTTTTTAAAGACGTTGTGACCAACGTTATACTTTTCTATAATTACTTTAGTTTATTTTTCTTCTGTAGGCATTCAGTCGTCTAACCATCTCGGCATGTGTAGTAGCATCTGGGCTGTGACCAATGTGATTGACAAGCTGCGTGCTGGTTTGACCCCGGGCATTCAGCAAAAAGTGAAGCGTTGACAGACAGCCAAAAAAACAACGTGACACGTCGACAGCTCTTCAAGATAGAGAAGGTTTGTATGCCAGAAAACTATGAATATGCATTATATATATAGTTATTTATAATGAAGGACGGATTAGTTGCTAGATGCGCTAACACAGGAATTATATAAGGTTCAAGAAGCGGCTTAATTCACACTGTATGTACTTTGTTTTCCTTAAAATATTAGGCCCCAGTACAGGAGTCAGTCTCGACCTGCCCTTGTTGAACGACTCCCTCTTAAATGGGTCTACAGACCATGATGACACCTTGCCATGTAAGTAGCTAATAAAATTTGTTTATATATACTTAGGTTTCAGCCCTTTGCACCTCTTTGATGCTTACTACTAGAAGTTTGAAGATTGATGTTTGTCTTCTGTTTAGATGATGGAATAATTCCGGCTTCTCCGGACGGGTTCACCCTGGTGTTCGATAATGTAAATCAAAAGACACATGCCAGATACTCCTCAAGAGAAAGGGGAAACGTCATGTTCAACATGGTGCAGGCCTATGCTGCGGTGGATAGAATTCCCTGCATGCGTCTAGCCGATCATCAGCCTGCACCGGATGACATAGAGCTAATTCCAATGGATTCCTTCTTTCCGGATGCAGAGGACTATTCTATGTTGCCGTAAGGGCAAGTGTGTTATGGCATAACATTTTATTACTTTTTGCCTTCTGATCTAATACGCAGTAATTTTAGGTGAAGCATTCAGCTGAAACGTAACTATGAGTTAATCCACTAAAAGATTTTCACGAGTATGTATCTGGTTCTTCAAAATGGAAAAAATAATTCTATTTTTTATTGTAGCAATGAATACAAAACAATTGTGCAAAGGATTCTTGTTGAGAACCTTGACGCATTCACAAACGTGGATGCACATGGAAGCATCCCTCAAGCGTATTTTGAAGAATCCAAGCACAAGTCTGAAATTGTAAGTTTTGACAGTTGTTGTTCGTTGCAATTAAACTATAACTATTGTAGTTGTTTTAGCATATACTAAAATAGCCAAATAACGAATATAATATACACTCATTTCATCATACTTGCACAAAGTTGACTGATTATTATGTTTTCACTAATAAAGATACCTCTTGGAGTTCTAAACAAAAGATGAATCACGTGTAGCTGACATCTTAAAAAATTAAAAAAATTAAAAAAAGATACAATAAAAAAATTAAAAAAACAAAAATACTCAATATTTTGAATAACATATCGCAGAACAGTTATCTTACAAGCCTTATTTTCATGCTAAATGCTAAATAAAATAAAAATAAAATATTACTCTCTTTAGGTCTCCTCTATCAGACAACGCTCCTTTACAAATACTGTTGCGGAGTCAACCAGGAAAAGAGTGATTGGCTACATCAGAGGGAGTAAATATCACTCTGCAATGAGTCTCCTATATAGATCCAGTAAAGCTGCAAGAACCTCTTTTCAGGGTATATTGAAGGATGTTGTACGCGCTGAAATGTCAGCCTTGACACATCCTTCATTTAAGTCAGTATGGAGGTCAGCAGGTAACCTGACCGATATAAGTAATTTGACTTGGTGCAAGGTTCTCAAAGAGGCTAAACGTCTCTGCCCTACTCTCTTGTCCTGCCTTACTGGAGCTATCACATCCAGGGCTGGGGAGAAGACCATGTCAACTGGGAAAAAATTGAAGTCCATTGTACCATACATTGGATCCATCATTGGTCAGCTGTGCTACCAAAAAAAGAAAAGTTTGTCGGTGTTCCCACTACTTGTGGGAGTCCAACTCTGGCTGGCTGGATGTAAGCGTGAGGTAAATTATTTACTTGAAGTCACAATACAAAATAAATGCAATCCAATGAACTCCTAGTCACATTGTGTCATAGATTACATGTCTTCACGTAGTAGCGGCTGTGCAAGTCTGGAAACTTTTCTTCATCCAAGATGAACTATATCCTGTAAACAGAAATACACTGTAAACAGAAAGCATCTGTTTGGGAATGGAACGTTATTCAAAGTTTATTGTGTTCTAGGTTTTCGCTAGACTGAATAATCTCGGCCTGTCATCAGGCATAAAAGCAGCTCATCGCTACATCGACAATGTAACAAAGGCAAATAAACAGGAGGTTCAGCGGTGGAGGGAGCTGATTAGTCTAACACAAGGAGCAAGACGGCAGTTGCAGTTTAATCAAGGTGATTAAAAAGGAAAACGATTATTATAAATATAGAATACTTCACTACACAGCTATTACATACACCGCCAATAAATTGATTAGAAAATAAGGACATAAATATAAGAATGAAATTGCTCATTTGTATTTGCATCTCAAGATTTAAGTCTCGAAAGTGTGATGAAGACAAGCAGGGTTTACCTTTGAGATTGTTACATTGATAAAATTGGTAGGGTGTACATCTAAGTGTATGCCAAATTGTCTTACAGGGGAGAATCAGGATCCCATTGATGAAGAGGCTCTTCCCCCTGCTCCTGATTCTGAGGCGTCATCATCTGAGTTTGAGGATGAGGAGAGACCTGATGACTCTTGGTTCCAGGAGGGTCAGCCTGAAGCAGTTCAGCACCCTCAAGCGCTGCAGTCAGCTCCAGCTCCTCAATGTCAACTAAAAAACGAAGAGACATTGGGATTCACGGTCTGCTTCGACAACGTAGACTACAAAACAATAGCAAGACATCAGAGCACACAGAGTGGCAACCAGATGTTCAACATGGTTCAAGCATATGCAGCAAGAGATAGAGTTGCATCCATGCACCTTGATGACACCAGGCCAGATGCGAACGCAATTCTAAACATTCCTGTGCAGAACTACCTTCCATCACCTGAAGACCATCAGCTGCTCTATCATGAATACATCAATGAAGTGCAGAAAATTCTGTGCGCAAAGATGGAGGCGTTTAAGGACGTAAACCTAGAACCCATGCAGCACCCATACATGCAAGAATTGAGCCAGAAAAGCCATATGGTAATATATTAAATCTGGTAACACCGCAGATATCTGGTTATGCCATAAAAATAGAGAAAAGTAATGAAAAAACATGTGCTTATTTAACACATTGATTTTGTATCAGAGTTGCTGTGAACAATTGCCAGTGTTAAAGGTGATTAGAAATTTAATTTAACTGCAAAAATGCTTCACTTGAGGCACTCGCATTTTTTTACAAACTACTTTGTTGTCAGGTCCCGCTGGGTGTCATCGACAAGGATGAGACGAAAATCACCAATATGATAGACATCGTGGAAACTTACCAGCAGCTTGTGCCACTTCGAGATGGTAAACTAGTTACCACCATTCTCTATGGTGATGGGCTCTCCTGTGAGAGAGTAAACGATGCCAAGTGCGCCAGGATTAGTTCTGCAAACCCGATGGGGCGCCTTGATGGGATCGAGCCACAGATTCAGGAATGGCATAGACGTGCAATACATTTGAATGTATGCTTGTTAATTTTAAATAATCAATGTTTATGTGACCAATATATTACTTTCAATAAATATACAAGCTTTACTCATATGGAATATTTAATCTTGTGCATAGTGCAGGTCATAAAAAAGGATTTTGATACATCACTCAACTTGTTGTTTAAGGGTTAGGTGGAGATTGTTGTAGATACATGTATATTGACCTAAATGTTGTGTTGTATCTACAGGACATCTATTCTAGCCTGTTCAGTGGGAAGAGTGCTAGAGACAAGGGAACACTGTTCTATCTGAAGAGTCGTTTCCGACATCGAAATGTCAGCGCAAATGTAATGCACTGCTTTAACTATGCCAACGAACTGATGAGATTTACCACAGAGGCATATGCAGTTGCTGCTGCCTGTAGCTTCCTTGGCCTGAATGCACCAGATGACTGCCTACCCAACCAACCCTCAGAACCACTTGAGTTAGAGCATTTGCTCCTGAAAACTGCCAAGCATGTTGTGGGGATTGCATTCTGCCCGCCTGATGCCTCTTGCATTATAAATGCTGCAGCTGAGGAGCCTGAGCTGAAGTACTGCCTCTGCCAGGAAGAACTCGAAGATGCACAGATGGTAAAATGTGAAAATAAGAAGTGCCGGAGGGGCCAATGGTTCCATCTCAAATGCATTGACCTGGCTGAAGAAGACCTGCCAGACGGAGATTGGTTTTGTAGTCAACAATGCAATAACAAAAAGATGAAGACGGCCAAGCCCTCAGCCACAGAGGACCACAAATTTCAGTACAGCAAAGCTGTACTTTGGTACGGTTTGGGGGACTCTGTGAGAACTGATGCAGTGAGGCAGGGAGACGGGAACAGGATCATCATGCACTGGCGGCAGGACATGGTTCACTTCTTTGAAGGACACCACACAAAGTATTTTGTGTTTGGACACCGTCTTCTGACCAGCACAGGTGGTGGTGCATCAGAAAGGATTGCTCATCAGTTAACATGGAACAGGACGGTCAATCCAAGTGGACTGCCAGGCAGAAACTTAGAAATGGACCTGCAAATGGAATTTTACAATAAGGCCTACAAAGGTAGCTACAATACGTTTCCATTTAGAAATGAGCCCATTCAAGGGCTATATGAGCTCAAATCAACAATTTTAAATTGTAAAATGTCTGGAAATTAAAATCGATATTAGGTATTCGTGATTTGCACTTGGTACTACAAAGAAACATATGGGTTTTTAAAAACTTTGTTGGGAAATTTTTGTTACAGAGAGCATCAAAAGTGCTGGGGGCCATATTACCGACAACACCGTGAGGAGGCATGGAGATATGGTCGGGCTAGGGCGATCAATGCAGCTCCTTTTCGATCTCCAAGTGGCTGAGAGGCGCACAGACAAAAGGAAGCATGGCCAGGCTGACAGATCTCCTGATTTTAAGGACTTGGTTGAACTCCTACTGGAAGAAGAGTTGTTGATCCGCATCCCCGGGAGATACCACAAGGGCTATCCTGACTTTGTTTTGCAAACACAACCCACAGCTCCAGCACAGATGAAGGCCAGAATCTTGAAGCATGTCAAGAAAACTGCGAAGAAGATTACTCTTGTTGCGGGCCACTGATCAACCTCACATGCAGGTTTGTACAGAATTCTAGTATTCCACAAAATTGAAATTGTTTTACGATTACATTACTATCGCAGGCTAGCTTCCTTTAAATTATATTATTTCATAGTATTTTATTCAGCACAGATCAAAACAAAACATAGCACTTACCCACATACATCTTTTCCAGTCTTTCAAGAAAAGACGATGCTCGGGATGGGCAGCAACAATCTACCTGGCAATTGCTGCAGCAGCTGCATAATGCACACTGACACATTTGCAAGCAGTTCTGTTCACAGTTTGACTTTAGCTTTAGTGTCTCGAGTTCCTCCGCCCCAGCAGAGTCTATAGCGAACATCTGAAGAAGCTGCACCCTGCAACACGTAGAGCAAGTGGCTACTTCTTTCATAGCCTTGTCTTTACAAGTGGTGATGGTGCGTGACAAGGCATATGTCACTGCCAGGCCAGGCCGACCGTCACGAGCACATCGCCCGACCTCCTGCCAATATTGCAGGGCACTCTGCTCTAATCCCCAGTGAACAACGATGTCCACATCATTAATCTGGACACCCATCCCAAATGCTATTGTTGCAAATAGCAATCGGATGTGGCTGTCTTCTTTTGGAAAGTTAGTCATAATCCGCTCCATGGATTCCTGGTCTGCCTTTGAGTGGAACATTTCCACAAGTCGGCAATCCACACTGTGATGTCTTCCTGCATAGGCCTGATCACCCAGCTCTTCCATCACCCACATGTACATTTGGTACACTGCCCTCACGTTCCGACAGTACACTAATATTTTAGGGCACTTGGTTTGGCCCTTTTTGAGGCAGCCTATCAGCCAGGATAGCTCTTCCTCAAAATTTTCTTTCACTTTAAGTAAGTGCAGAAATATGTTGGGTCTGCAATTAAAAAATTAGAATTAGCTAGTATATTTAATCTATAAGAATCGTTAAGACTGTGAATAATGCGTGTGTGTTACATGAATATTTGCAAATTGCTTCTGTGTAATTATTTTCTTTCAAATTGATTTCATTGTAGCAGAAGGCTGCATGGTGATCACCAATTCCAGTAATTAGTAATTAAATCCAAACAGTTTAAATAGTGTTATAAATATTCTAAGCAATAATGATACTACATCTGCCACTCTATTCGTTAACATATGTTAAGATAAACCTCATTGAAAGCATGTAATATGTAATTACCTGTTTGGAAGACGAGCTATCACAGCTGCATCTTCAACAGCAAGAACATTGCAGACGTCTGCTTTGACTGCATTTGTGGCTGTGGCAGTCAACATGAGCGTTGGAACTTCATCCAATAGGCATACGATTTCGCAGACCCGCCTATAATCCTTACGAAAATCCAGACCCCTGTAAACAAATTTGTTTTAAACGTGACAGAAAGAACACATCTATTTTTTATTTGAACGTTTAGGGTTGTAGGGCATTTTCCCACTTAAAAGAAAATATTAAAGGAAATATTGTTAAAATGATTTGAATGAGCATTGATCTTTGAATCCAGATACTGTATACAATTCTGAGTGCGCATTTCTCTGTTTTTCCTTTTATTCCATATGTGAAAATTATCAAAATAAGTAATTACAAAATCTTACATCCACCATCAAGCCGATATGAAATTTACACAAGTATGAAACATACAATTTTGGCAAGCAACATGTACTCTCTATTAATAAATATAAAAGAATTACCATAACATTGTTTTTCGATCATGTTTTTATTCTTGGTGTTATCACAATCAGAGAAATTTATTAATTAAATTTAAGAATTGTTTACCATTCTGATATACAGTGCACCTCGTCAAAGGCTAGCAGACACAATTGTTCCTGGAATTTTTGTGATCGGGGCAGGTCCCTCCAGGTCCGCTCAAGGAGTGCTTCTGGAGACGAGAAGACCACACTGACGAGATAATTGGACAGCTAATTGTTGCATTACTGCACAATTTAATTTCGTGTTGCAGATATGATGTCTCCACACAAGAATGTGAGCTCTACCCCCAAGAAGCCTTTGTCGCCCGCATTTTTTTTGTCCCCCGTACCAATGACCTCTAGCCCACACCGGAGTGTGTGTAAAAAGAGGGCAAGAATGTGCACGCCGAGGAAGACACGTACATCGACTGCCAAAAAAACAGGAAAGGTGGCAGTTTTCAATATGCTGGTAAATAAAATATCTAAATTATGTAAACTTTCCTTCCCGCGAATTGTAATAGCCCATTTTTGCTATAAATCGGTTTAGAAATGCATTTAACTAAATATTTCCACTTTAAATACAAGTTATATGGGTAAAACTAATGATTATGGCTGAACACAATTGTTAATTGTTGCCAAGCCTTTTCCTTGTTATTCTATATTTTGTAACTTCTAGGATGCACAGAGGCAAGGCCCCAAAAAACAGCGTACAGGTGATGTGGCTAGGGCGGCGCAAATGTTAATTAATGGCCAGCATGCGTCTGCATTAAGGCTGCTAATACGAGCCAGCAAAGCATTTAGACGTTCGCTGAACAACATTGTTGAACAAGTCGTACGAAAGGAAGTAAAGGTAAATGAAAATTTATTACTTAAACCGCTGGAAATAGATAAATAGAAACTGTAAAGATTTTTTTTTAGTTTATATGTAAAAAATCAAAAACAAATGGTTATATAATATGAAGTTCTAATTAACTTTCTTACGTGTGAGGAACACTCTCAGATTATAATACATCTTTTTCCCCGTTTAGGAATTGTGTTCTCCCACTACAACATCAGTGTGGAGGTCAGACAGGGGGAATATGTACACGCAACTCGCGTCGTTTACATTCGAAAAGGCATTGCGTGAGACGGAGGCAAAGGCTCCCGTGCTGTACTCTGCCCTTCGAGGTGCGTGCACGGACAGTAAGGGAGCCAAGCACCTCACTACCGGCAGCAAGGCTACTACAAGCTCGGTGGTACCAAATATGGGTGCCCTTATTGGGCAGATCGTGTTTGCCGTAAAAGGTCGCAAGATGAAACTTTTGCAGCAGATTGTTGGCTGCGAAATGTGGCTGGCAGGATGCCACCGACAGGTAAATAATACTTTTCAATTTCGTACAACTATTATGAAATCACAAATTTTTTTAAAGACGTTGTATGACCAACGTTATACTTTTCTATAATTACTTTAGTTTATTTTTCTTCTGTAGGCATTCAGTCGTCTAAACCATCTCGGCATGTGTAGTAGCATCTGGGCTGTGACCAATGTGATTGACAAGCTGCGTGCTGGGTTTGACTCCGGCATTCAGCAAAAAGTGAAGGCGTTGACAGACAGCCAAAAAAACAACGTGACACGTCGACAGCTCTTTCAAGATAGAGAAGGTTTGTATGCCAGAAAACTATGAATATGCATTAATATATATAGTTATTTATAATGAAGGACGGATTAGTTGCTAGATGCGCTAACACAGGAATTATATAAGGTTCAAGAAGCGGCTTAATTCACACTGTATGTACTTTGTTTTCTTTAAAATATTAGGCTCCAGTGCAGGAGACAGTCTCGACCTGCCCTGGTTGAACGACTCCCTCTTAAATGGGGATACAGACCATGATGACACCTTGCCATGTAAGTAGCTAATAAAATGTTGTTTATATACTATAGGTTTCAGCACTTTGCACCTACTTGATGCTTACTACTAGAAGTTTGAAGATTGATGTTTGTCTTCTGTTTAGATGATGGAATAATTCCGGCCGCTCCGGACGGGTTCACCCTGGTGTTCGATAATGTAAATCAAAAAACGCATGCCAGATACTCCTCAAGAGAAAGGGGAAACGTCATGTTCAACATGGTGCAGGCCTATGCTGCGGTGGATAGAATTCCCTGCATGCATCTAGCCGATCATCAGCCTGCACCGGATGACATAGAGCGAATTCCAATGGATTCCTTCTTTCCGGATGCAGAGGACTATTCTGTGTTGCGGTAAGGGCAAGTGTGTTATGGCATAACATTTTATTACTTTTTGCCTTCTGATCTAATACGCAGTAATTTTATGTGAAGCATTCAGCTGAAACGTAACAATGAGTTAATCCACTAAAAGATTTTCACGAGTATGTATCTGGTTATCTTCAAAAAGTGAAAAAAATAATTCTATTTTTTATTGTAGCAATGAATACAAAACAATTGTACAAAGGATTCTCGTTGAGAACCTTGACGCATTCACAAACGTGGATGCACATGGAAGCATGCCTCAGGCGTATTTTGAAGAATCCAAGCACAAGTCTGAAATTGTAAGTTTTGACAGTTGTTGTTCGTTGCAATTGAAACTATAACTATTGTAGTTGTTTTAGCATATACTGAAATAGCCAAATAACAGAATATATATACACTCATTTCATCATACTTGCAAAAGTTGACTGATTATTATGTTTTTCCATAATAAAGATACCGCTTGGAGTTCTACAAAAAGATGAGTCACGTGTAGCTGACATGATAGAAATCATGCTGCACTATGACCAGTATGTACCTGGCGAGCCATTAATCCCCATCATCTTGTATGGAGATGGCCTTAGCTGCGAAAGGGTAAATGACGCATCTAATGCCCGCATCAATGCTCACACACCGCGAGACCGTCTCGAGGGACTAATCCCTGGGATACAGGAGTGGCACAAAAGAGTACTGTTGCTAGGGGTATGACATTTCCGTTATTACTTGTAAAATACTCCTAAATAATATTAGAGATATGCGCAAGTGCACATCAGCATTATAGGTTACAAACTGTAATGACACAGCTAACAAATTGATTACATGCAAGTCATCCAAATTCAGCACAGATTTTGTTTTTTCAGGATACATTCAAACTCCTGTACAAAGTAGAGAGTTCTAGATGTCCCGGGACACTGTACAGTGTGCGAAATATATTTCGCCACCACAACGTTTCATCACGTGTTGTCGAATGCTTCAACGATGCAACTGGCTTACTGCGTTTCACAACAGAAGCATATGTAACAGCAGCAGCACGCACATTGATGGAACATAGTGGAAAAGACGTCACTGACATCGAGGAACTGTCAAATCGTATTGTCGACATGGCATTCCATCCATTGTCACCAGATGCTGTTGTTAGTCGAGAGCAAGACTATTGCTTTTGTAAACGCATTGACACTGTTGGTGAAATGGTCTGCTGCGACAATGCACACTGTGATCGCGGCCTCTGGTTTCACCTGGAGTGCTTGCAGATAACGCCAGATGAATTGCCGGATGGCTCCTGGTTTTGCAGCGACGACTGCAGAAAGTCATCAATGTCGGCCAAGAGTACACACAACACAGCAAATGAAAATCTTGACCATGTGTACGAGTACACAAAGTTGTTACTCTTCAGAGGGCTTGGCGATATGGTACGCCACGATGCTATTCGCGAAAACGATGGGGATAGAATGTTACTGCATTGGAAATTGGACATGCTCGATTTCTATGACAACCACCACCCCAAGTACTTTGTCGTAGGTCTACGCCTGCTAGCAGATGTAAATGGCGGAACAAGTGAAAGGCTGGCGCACCAGTTAAAATGGAATCGAACAGTGAATGTCACTGGTGGTGCCCACAACAATATTGAGATGGACCTGGAAATGGAATTCCTCAATAAGGCCTACAAGGAAGCCGTCAAAAATGCTGGTGGAAATCTAACGGAAGCAACCGTTGCCCGCCACAGCCAGATGGTAGGTCTGGGCAAAGCCACACAAAAAGCCTTTGACAAATTAACTGTTAAAGGCAATTTCAAACCTGCAACATCGAAGGTTGATAGAAAAAAAGATGTATGCTCACTTGTTGAGATACTCATAAAAAACAAGTGCTGTGAGGAAGTCGGTCAGCGTTGGCACAATGGATTCGAACATTTAAAAGTGAAGACACAGTTCAAGTTAAGATTAGCGATGGAGGAAAAAATAGCTATGCATCTAAAAAAACGAGCCATGAAAATGAGAATTGTTTCTAACTAGAAGTATGAAATGTGAATTGAAATGAAATTTCGCACAAAAGCCTGACAGTATTGTTGTATTCCTATTATTTGGAACCACTACAAAAAGCGTTGCAACACGTTTGCCTGCGTTCCATTGCAGCTGCAACTATCTCTGCAATTTGTGCAACACAGGCACAAAGAACACTTGCATTCGTCACATTCCAGTGATTGGCACATTGTTTTTTCCGTTAATAAAGCACCCTGTGAAAATGGTTCGAGCACTTTAGCGCGTAAGCAATCACCAGTACTGCACAGCGCCTTCAAACGAGTCCTTGCAGAGGAACACGGACCTGGGAAACATGTACGCTAATGATGCCCCTTGTCTGCCATCCCTGGCACACCGCCCCAGCTCTTGCCAGAATGCAATTAGACTCTCTCCGCAACCCCAGTGAACAATTAAATCTACGTCATTTATCTGCACGCCCATCCCAAAAGCCACTGTTGCTATAACTACTCTAATTTTACTGTCAAGCTTCGCAAACGTCTCCAGTACTCGGTGCGTTGAAAGAGGGTCCGTTTGAGAATGGAACATTTCAACCATGCGATAGGCAACACATTGTGTCTGCGGATGGTATGCTCTGAGATGCAGCTGTGCCATTAGCCAGATGTAGAGGGGATGCAATCGCTCACGCTACTGTACACCGGTCCCAGATGTAGGATGTAGTATAGGCCGTTATTCAATCTATTTTGCACTTTTCCAGTCAAATTATGTAGGATTGATAAAATTTTGATTCGGATAATTCCCTGAATTCAGTGAAAATAAGTATGGCAAAGCTATATTTGCCACGACCTTCATGTTTTATTATAGTTCGCCTAGCCGCCGTATCAGCCTCGGTCGCGCCACCGGTCACAACACTAGCGTTTCCAAGCGGCAAACCGTGAGTTAGCAATCCCCTTGGGTTAGTATCTATGGTAGAAGTATTATTAGTAAAGTAGAAAATATAGCAGACAAGTATGTCTGATTATATTTCATTTACCCTCGCGAATTTGAAGGTCGAATTGGCACGACGAGGTGCCAAAACAACTGGCCGAAAAGCCGAATTGGTTGAAAGGTACAGTTAGCACTTTGTAATAGGCCTATAGGCTATAGTGTATAGGCCTATTACCCGTGTATAGGCCGCTATACTCACACTGCATAATACAGTTATCTAATTTTACCGGGACTCATAAGTGTGATGGTGCATTAAACCTGGAGATTATTTTATATCATTACAGTAACAGTTCACATAATACACAAACCATGCACCCAGTGTTGACGTTGTCACAAGACACGCTCAAGATACATCATACACACAAAATAACAACGTTAACTACCATATTTTAATATTCATTATTAATATTTATTTCCGAACAGGTTACAGTCATATGACAGAAACCAGAATTTTGCTAGTACCGAGGCTTTAGATATACCAGCTCCTGTATTTGCCGAATGGCCTGTATCAGGCTATAAGCAACTGCAGCAATGCCACCGAGATGTCTTACCGCCAGTGACAGACAACCACCTACACGGATATTTTGCTTTTCGTGCTGGCTTAGACAGTAGATCAGTTGGGGACATGCAAGCCTTAGAAAAGGCTAATCACATGTTAGAGGGAAAGAAGATGCTGGCATGCAGTTTCATGATGCTAGATAACTACACATTTTTCACAGCAATATGCAGGGCGTCGATGAAGAAATCTGTAAGTGGGTTTGATGATTATTTTCATCATTATACATAATTCTATTGCATCAATGATAACTTTACACAAGTAGAACACAACTTAAATAAGGTCTATTCATATTAACACGTAAACTGTTTAAAGCCATAATTTTGAGAATAATCTAGCTAGTGTTCTCCCCACTTTTATAATAGGCCTACCTACCGTTATTGCTCGAGTCACAGCAACTGTCTAGAGTAACGATAACATGTATTAGAACCTTCGTATTCACCAAAACATGCAAGTTTGAACTCGTTTCTTGTTACCACTACCTTTTCTTGTAATCTTGAACCAGTTAGTAGTGCCAGCTATCGTCCATAGACTTACACGTCTCTCACACAATCGCGTTTGCACCTACAAATTACAATCAAGTTCACCCATTCTGACATTATCGCGGCACAATTAAATTTCAGTGTGTTACGATGTGTTTATATATAATTTTCTATACTATAACTGAATATAATCCAAGTGTTTTTCAAGTTAGTGTAATCAGTGATATATCCGCTGTGAGGTGACACTATATTTCGCTATATTTTCTTCAGATTGAGTGTTTTCGAACAAGAATCTCGAAAATATTCATTTAATTAAACATAATTGTTTATTATCTGTTTTTTGTTTATTCTGTCAGGTATCGTATAGTCTCAAGCTAAAACTAGGCCCTCATGGAGATATTTTAAACACTCACTGCGAATGTCCTGCAGGCATTGGTCCACACGGGACATGCAAACACTTGGCTACCCTAGTTAAGTGTGTTATCACCCTGAAGGCTACTGGAAAGTTACCTGACATCAATATAGGATGCACAGATACACTTCAAGCCTTCCATAAGCCAAGTCGGAAACATGAAGGTATATATTTCATCAATGCTGTGGATATAAGGGAACTCTTTCAACAGGCCACACACTCATGTATGTACACTAAAACCTCATTATACCTCCCCTCGTAATACCGGCAATCACCGCCAACCGCCAGCATTATGGCTATGTACGATCCTTTATAAATGCATTGAAAATACACTCATTATACCGCCATCGAGTGTTGGTTGGTATCGGTTGTTCAGTTTCTATGGTAACATACACGCAGCACATCGACACGAGTCCTATGTAATAGCAGTAATATGTAGCTCAGTATAGTAGCGGTAGAGATTCCGCCCCATCATCACTTGATGGTCGGAGGTCAATTCAGATTGTATTGCGATGTTTAGTCGGACGCATATTCTACTGAACGTGACATTTCTGCCGTGTCCCTCCTACGATCTCGCATGGATTCACTCATTTCGGAATGTTCTAAACAGAAGTCAATTACAGACTTTTTTAAGAAAGATTGAACCCCGGACTATCAAAATACTGTACGCAAACTTAAATGTACATGTACATGTGCTGAACTCCGGACTAACGAAAACACGGAAACAAACATGAAAATATATTTTTATTTTAATAGTAATTCTGTTATAAAACAGAAATTTTGTCAATGTGAGTTTTATTTGTCATAAAAGACTTTATAATTTTTACGAATTACGAAGTTTTACTGTAACAGAAATTATCACCAGCGTAAGCTGAACTTTACCCAAACACCAACTGTAACCAATACCTTATCCATTTTAAATGGAACACATATAATTATAACTTAATATGCATGCACAATAACAAACAAACAGTGTGACATAATAATAGAGATGTTGATAATAGGTCAAATATTTAGGACCAACTTTACATGTACATTTTAATTGATGCAGGATCTCCAATGAAATGTGAAGACCTTCCTGTCCGAAAAACACGGAAAGGGGATTTAGATGATCCCAGACCGGAGAACATGAAGAAACTCCCAGGCTATGAAGACTACGCCAGAAATTTAATATTTAATTACTGTGCGGAAACAAATGCAGACATTAGCTGTCGATACATGTATGCTGGCACAAATTTGCAGGTTGCTGCCATCGACCATGATTATTTTAGCAGGCCTTTTACGGAGCTTATAGTAATGAAGCGAGTGTGCGTCACACCTCAGAGAGCTGCAGCAATAGAAAAACAAACACGCACACAGAGCGACTCAAACATCTGGCACGAGGAAAGGGAATGGAGGCTGACATGTTCGCAGCTGGGCCAGGTTACAAGGATGACCCCTCGCAGGAATGTCATCAAACTCTGCCGATGCTTAACTGACGAGAGAAAACTGGCCACCCCTGCAATCACTCATGGGAAAATTTATGAAGGCCTAGCACTACAAAAATTGGAGAACATTCTAAAAGTAAACGTTAAAAAATGTGGCCTTATTATAAAATTAGATAAGCCGTTTCTTGCAGGAAGCCCTGATGGTTTAGTTGGTAACGATGCTTGCATCGAAGTCAAGTGCCCCTATACAGGCAGAAATAATATGATAACACCCAGCAAGCCCTTTCCGTACCTGAAGATCAGTAATACTGGAGTATTACAATTAAAAAAATCCCATGTATATTGGGATCAGGTACAGGGTCAACTTTTTGTTACCGGGCGAAAGATATGCTACTTTGTTGTCCACACAATGGTTGACACCAAAATTATAGAAGTTAAATATGATAAGGAGTATGTCATGCTAAGCATGCTTCCGAAATTGGAACTATTTTATGAGAAGCATTTCGTGCCATATTTAGCATCACTATTGTAATCTTGTGACATGACATGATGAAAATTTGCCGTGAACTGTCTCCACTTAAAAGTAATAAAATTCAATGGGTCATCAAATTTTTAAATGGCTAATCTGATGTTAGAGGGCCAAGGAAATGCATTTGTTATTGGCAAGCATTTTCTTAGGCTCTTTTTCCGACTACAGATCTGCGGTAGTTTGTTATTAAGTAACAAACTTTAATAATACGACCAGCCATGTGAAGCTTTGAATGTGGCAAGTTTTTTTGAAGAATTTTGAAACCTTTACCATATCCAATAACTCGTTCAACGTGAATACGCTTGGATGCGATTCGCCTGTCCCTAACTACAGATTCTTGATTAAGCTGATTTATGCCTTTCATCGTTTGCGGGTGTATTGACTCGAACATTTTTGCTTGCAAAGAGGTCTTGGACCATTATGCCCCTGTCTGCCATTATGGAGTCCCCAGAATCAAAAAACCCATGCCCTTTCATTAAATCTGATCTTTCAATAATCTGTCTATCACTCACAGATCCTCCATATGTGTCACTTAGGTAGCTTACCACACCTCTGGGAGTAATACCAACCACAGTTTTCACCGTGTTCGTGTTTTTGTATGATGAAAATGTTGCACGTTGCGAGATACAATTTTTGGGCTTTTGAATCCGCATTTCTGTGGCATCCAATATCACGCGGGTTGAAGGGAACATGTTTTTGAACATTTTTGGAAAATGTTGATCAATTGTTGCTCTATCTGGCCAAATATTTAACTCACTTAACTGATAATATATAAAGTTTATCCAGATCTTGATGATCGTCGCAACAACAGTCTCTGATATACCGAAGTCTAATGCTAAGGCGTAATCCTCCCTAGCTTGTCTCAACTTGATCAATGACAGGAAAAGCTGGTTTAGAGGATCCAGCTCCCTGCACTTGTACTTAAGACTATGTACGCATGGACCCAAAATTGTGAAAAACAACATGAAGTGCCCTATGTTGTCAAACCCAGTCAAGTATTGGATCGCTTTGTCATTATCAGTAAAATTTTCCAAACGATAAAAGTTCCGTGCACTGTCACTGGTCGACTCACACTGTGAGGCTACACACCTAACCTGATAATCATCCCCTTCTACTTCTATAGCAGAGATATTACCCTGTGCTTCAGGCACAACTACCTCAACCACACTTCCGATAGTGAGTTCATGATCACTTATGCTCATAGATATGTTGCTAGGTGCATTGTTTTCCACTTGCTGTGCTCGATGGTTTCTTGCAGCAGCTCTTTTTATTCTATCTGTAGCGCACGGTGAAGTCTTCTTACGAAATGTAAACAAGGTGGGGACAACTCCAACCTTGAGTCTCTTCCTTCCATGTGCTATGGAAAAGTAGGACTCTATTCTAACGGCTGCACAGTTATTAGTAATATTACTATTACTATTAGAATTTAAAGTACATACGACCACAATACAACTAGTACTAGTAGAAATACTATTAGTATTAATATTATTGTTACTTGTTATTGTTGTTATTATTCTTACTAAACAGCACAGTTGGGACTTTTGGTAACATATCCTGCTCCATTTCTATAGTATAGTATATATAAATAAGTTACATTTATAAACAACAATAAATTCTGCTTTTGGGACAATTGAATAATGATAATTTTACCAAACGGCCTTTCTTCGCTTTCAGTGAAAATAAGTATGGCAAAGCTATATTTGCCACGACCTTCATGTAATGCGTTTTGAATAATTATATGAACTCTTCGTTAATTTTCAGGCCCGTCTCAAAGTGTGACAAATGAAAGAAGTAAGTATATTATTCAATGGTGGAGCCTTTGTTGATAAAGCTACTTGATACAATAATCACAGCTATGCACAATGAATTCCCCAATAATTGTTAAAAACACGACAATAATTCAGGACTAGTAGTAGCTTTATAAGTGAGAGAAATTTTGTTGTGTGCATAGTGTTAAAATGTGCCTATTTTTTCACATTTTCAGACCCTGATGCAGTTCTCGACATCGATATGTCAGGTATGTGGTTTCAGGTCGAAAGTTACTTAGATGCATGTTTCACCACATCCAAGCTTCATGAAGACAGAGAACAATTGACTGTGCTATGTGACT